GCTGTCCTGGCTCCTGCTCGACTTTGGCTTCTACGGCATCGGACTCTCGAGCCCGCAGTTCCTGGCCAAAACGTGGGGATCCCTGAACATCCATGGCCGGGAGCCCGTGTGGAAAACCGACGACGACCCCAACGCCAACATCTTCGAAATGTTCATGAACAGCTCCATCCACGCGCTCGTCATCCTCAACATCGGCAGCTTCGTCGGGGGCCTGCTCATGATCCTCTGCAGTCCCAAGATCGACCGCACCGCCTTGCAAAAGTACGGCTTCCTTGCCCTGGCGGCGCTCTTTATCGCCCTCGGCACAATGTTCATCACCGTCCACAAAGAAGGCCCTGTGGCGGTCATTCTATACATCATCGGACAGCTCCTCTTCAACTTTGGTAAGCCCCCACCCCCCCCAAACCTATCCATAGACACAACAGTCCCTAACTAAAAGACCAGGCCCCAACGCAACAACATACATCATCCCCGCCGAAGTCTTCCCCACGCGCTACCGCGCCACCTGCCACGGCATCAGCGCCGGCGCCGGCAAGCTCGGCTCCATCCTCGTACAGGTCTTCTCGTCATACTACAACTTCGGCACCGGGCCCGGCGTGGAACCCACCGTCCGCCACGGCTGGATCCTGATCGTCTTCAGCGCATGCATGATCCTCGGCGCCGTCGTCACGCATTTCTGGATCCCGCCCGTGCAGCGCGATGCCGCCGGCAAAGGCCAGTTCTGGGGCGGGAGGCACGAGTCACTTGAGACGCTGGCGCTCGGTCGGCTGGGCTGGAGGAGTCGGTATGCGGTTAAGAAATCCGCGCGGCCGGCGCAGGTGTCGCCGTTTTCGTATGAGCTTCGTTGATTTTTAGACAACTTATACCTTCTCTTGTATATATTTTCATTTTTTTACCATACCAAAATATTCGGATAGATAGATAATAAACGGACATACATGCCGATCTGTCGGTATCTAAATGGACGACGGTATGGAACCGATCCCGCTTCTCAGATTGGAAATATCGATTTATAGCTTATCAGCCTTGTGCGAGCTTGGACTCAGTTTGTCGTCTGCTAGACTGACAAGTCCGAAAAGGTTGGGGGGTGTCGTACAGTGTACGATGTACGCAGCGTCATCTGACTAGAGACGGTGTAATTGGAGGAGAACGAGTCTGTGAGGACTTGGGAGGAGTCGATGACTTATATTGACGTGGTTAATCATGGAGAACCCAGCTTCTGGTTCATCTTGAGCATGCAGGCTGAATTGCTTCATCTGTACACTGGCCATAAGCCAGTACAAGCTGTCTGATGTTATTAGTCATCCGTGCCTTTAAATCTAAGATTGAGATGATGAATCAGTTGACCATGAAAAAAAATCCAGAGCCGAGTAGCTGGAAAAAAAGATCCCGATGATATCGATATTCAAAAAGTGAGGGCTGAAAGAGAGTTGGAAGGAAAAAAGAAGAGTGCATTGCATCATCCGTGAATCGAACACGGGCCTCGTCGATGGCAACGACGAATTCTACCACTAGACCAATGATGCTAGTTATTATCAGACTCTGATGTTTCTGATTCTATAGAGGCTATTTATTCTTAGAGATTGATGTTGCCCTATATTGCTTCAACTCAAAATAAGCTGAACTCACCACGAGCAAATCTCTGGTTTCATCTACTTGGAGATCAAGGATAGGTCATATGGATTTACAGAAGATTATGTCCTCCACCTGGCGCCTTATGGAGAGTATGGAGTGCACGCGTCTCCCAGATCTGGATATTATCATGGGGGAATTTTCACTTGTCCGACAGCATGCGTATGACGCGGTTGTAGATGTGATCCTGAGACTCGGTCTGGACTGTGGAGCTTGTAGATCTCCATCTTGTGCTTGACATGAAGACCATGGGAGAGGTGACTAGCATTTTCGACTTTTGGTCACGTTGTGTGAATTCATCACACGAGTTTGCTCTTGGACATCACCACGCCGTAAATATATATTGCCTTTCGTCGAGGACAAAGGAGATGTCAAATAGGTCATAGGTTGAGAAACAAGCAGTCGACTGAATAGGTCAGATTCTATGCATTTATAGCAATGACACAGTCTAAAGCACTTGCTCCTGTCATCTAAGAAATGAAGACAATCTGTAAGAGCGGAAATGTTGGTTCTCATGCTGAGTTTCTCACAAGGACACTATTATTTTCTTATAAGTTACTATTCAGGCCCCTATAATATCTACTGGCTCGCATAGCTCAGTTGGTAGAGCGCATGACTAGTAATCATGAGGTCAGCGGTTCAAATCCGCTTGTGAGCATTTCTTTTGTTTTTTTTGGGGTAGTCTCTTTTTTTGCTGGATCTCTCTTCTCTCGCGCCGCCCGCGACGATCCACTTCGTGCCGCTTTGACAATCACTCAGGAAGCGGTCCTCGCTCGAGATGGTCCTTCGTGTTGTATATGTAGTACGACGTACACAACCGCCAGAACCATGCCGCTGTCGCACATAAAATGCATATAGCTGCCTGAAGACACAATGCCGATCATGATGCCCCCTCACGTAACCCCGCACCATCATATGAGCGCTGACTCTCAACACATCTAGCTAGCTGTCATGGAGATGCTGCAATTGCTGTTCATACATGTCCAATGCATACAGCATGACCAATTGGACGTGTATTTTGGTACAATTACGGGGACAAATTCCGCACATGCATATGTCTCATGCAATGATCTCCACAGTATAGCAGGCCAGAACCAGGCTTCCTTGTCCAATTGATCGGGCTAAGGACTGCTGTGATACAAATACGTGTCATCAGCCATCTAATCTCCTTTCAAAAGGTATTCGACATTGTCCAGACACCGTTGAAGCCTAGGGAGCGTGTGTTTTTTCCATTTTGGGGCTTGACGTTACCCCGCAATTTCTGATTACTCACGGTCAATCTTAAGGTTCTTAAAGAGCAATTCTCGAGTCGATATTCATTGTCTCTTGTCAACTTCTCTTCTACCTGATACTGACACAATGACTGTTCCCATCACTGATCACTCGTCCAAGGATCGAATCGAACCAGGCTCTTTCAATGTTCCCGTGGGAAAGTTTCCCCGAACTGCCTCCTCCACGTCCGTTGATGCTGCCAAAGTCGCTTCAGAGGTGATTGGTCGGCTGAATAATGCTTTAAAGCAGAAAAACTACAAGACAATCTCAGATCTATTCCTTGACGACGCCTACTGGCGGGATCATTTAGGTCTGTCGTGGGACTACCGGACCATCAAAGGCAGAGAGAACATCGCCCGGTTCCTCGAGCATTCCGCACGGCTGGCCCAGATCGATATTGACGAGTCATCGTCCTTCCGTGCGCCCCATGTCGGCCCAATTGATGCGTTTGGTGACATCACCGGCGTGGAGTTCTTCACTACTTTCGCAAACGATGTAGCGCATGGAAGGGGCGTGGTCCGCATGGCGGAGAAGGACGGCGTCTGGAAAATCTTCACTATCTTCACGACCCTCCAGGAGCTCAAGGGGCATGAGGAGGCTGTGAACACCAGTCGGCCGCTGGGAGTGCAGCATGGAGCGCAATTAGGCAGAAGAAACTGGCAGGATAGACGGAGCTCGGACTTGGAATTTGAGGAAAAGAACCCCGTTGTCCTGGTCATTGGTAGGTCACCATCTCTGGACTGACGTGGCATTGTACTGACTTGAAAGGCGCCGGCCAATCTGGACTGACAGTCGCCGCTCGTCTCAGGATGCTCAATGTCGACGCGTTGGTCATTGACGAGGAGGACCGCATTGGAGACAACTGGCGGCGGAGATATCACCAGCTCGTACTGCATGACCCCGTGTGGTTCGATCATCTGCCGTACTTGCCCTTCCCTCCGAGTTGGCCGGTATTCACCCCGAAGGACAAGCTAGCCGAGTTCTTCGAAGCATACGCCAGGCTTCTTGAACTCAATGTGTGGACGCGGACGAAGCTCAAATCGTCCTCGTGGAGCGATGAAACAAAGCAGTGGACGGTCGTCCTTGAAAGACGACGAGACGACGGCTCAGTTGAGAGCCGAACCCTTCATCCACGGCACGTCATCCAAGCTACCGGCCATTCCGGAGAAAAGAGTCTACCCCGGTTCAAGGGGATGGAGTCTTTCAAGGGTGATCGTATCTGCCACAGCTCCGATTTTACCGCAGCAAATCCGGCTTCCAAGGGCAAAAAAGCGGTGGTTGTCGGATCAGGTAACTCTGGCCACGACATTGCGCAGGACTTTTACGAAAAGGGATACGACGTCACCATGGTCCAACGAAGCACAACATGTGTTATTTCATCCGAATCGATTGTCGAGATCGGGCTCAAGGGCCTCTACGAGGAGGGCGCCCCCCCGACCGAAGACTCGGACCTGTATCTGTGGAGCATCCCGAGTGAGCTGTTCAAGGCGCAGCAGATCAAGTTGACTGCCGCTCAGAATCAACGCGATGCCGCCATCCTCCAAGGACTGGACAAGGCCGGTTTCAAGATCGACATGGGCTCGGACAACGCCGGTCTGCTGATGAAGTACCTGTCACGAGGCGGCGGCTACTACATCGACGTTGGCGGCAGCCAGCTCATTGTGGACGGCAAGATCAAGGTCAAACAGGGCCAGGAGATCACCGAGATCCTCCCTCACGGACTTCAGTTCGCGGACGGCACGCAGCTGGAGGCGGACGAGATCGTCTTTGCGACCGGCTACCAGAACATGAAGACGCAAGCGCGGGCCATCTTCGGCGACGAGGTCGCCGATCGCATCGAGAGCGTCTGGGGATTCAACGAGGAAGGCGAGATGCGTACGATCTGGGGGCAAAGTGGTCATCCGGGATTCTGGTTCATGGGCGGCAACCTGGCGCTCTGCCGGTACTATTCGCGGTTGTTGGCCTTGCAGATCAAGGCCCTGGTGGAAGGCATCACCATCTATGGAGCGAAGTAGACGCATAGACTCAGTGGAAGACTGGAAAATTGCTTCTCGATATGACCGTCATAATCGTTAATTTTGCACTGTTTCTCTACCTCAATTCAGCCACCCCTCCTGCGCCGCAACCCAGACCCCCGTCGTTAGAACCATTGTATAGACTGCAGTCCTGAACTGCCCCTCCGATAGTCCAGACTCATCCATAGACGAGCCCACACACTCCCGAAGCCCCTCAAGCGGCAGCCGTTCCCAACACCCAACCTCAAATCCCTTTTTCGTTAGCGACGCAACCCGCGCCCCCCGCCGCGTCTTCATATCCACAATGCCCAGCACGAATCTGCTGTCCCCTCCGGCCCCCGGCGCCGGATCCGTCGACGACGAAGAGAACGACGTACTTCGTTTTTCCTCCCCCCGCCTCTTCCACTCCAGCACGTACTCTGCGGCCCCATCCCGTCCCTGAAACCGATATCCACCAGTGGCTGTCACACGCGCGGTCCACGTGCGCCCTGTCAGCGGGAAATGCACCTCCGCCTCCGCCTGCCCCGGCTCCGGCTCCTCCTTTTTCGCTTTTGCTTTCTGTGCGGGTGGGTGGTAGATCACCCCGGCGACCTCTTGGTTTGCATCTGAGTCCGAGGTTAAATTACGGTCGTGGTCATCACCAGATAACGAAGCGTATGCCTCGCTCTGGGTAACATACATATCCCCCGCATGAAGCTTGGGAAGAGTCGCGCACGGCCGGGCCGCAAAGCGCGAAGGTTGCCAGACTTCGAGGACGGGGAGAGGCCGGGTGGATTTCGGGGAGAGGTGTTGGATCTGGAGGAGGAGTTTGGGGGTGAGGCGGAGGCGTTGGGTGGGTTTTGGGGGTGGGCGGGCGAGAGGAAACACTGATTGTTCTTTCAAATGTTTGGGGTGGGTTTGGCGTGGTGGGATGCTGTTCTGTCGTCAGTGGATTTTATTTTTGACGCCATATGGATTGTGGTGCTCATACCTGGTTACGCTCTCTGTGTCGCTGTCGCTGCCGCTGGGGGCGGGGGAGATGGTGTCCATATTTGTAGTTTGTGTAGACAGTCGAGTGAACCAAATGTAAGCGCAAGAATAAAGGCTTGAGGTTAATATCTATATCTATTAATTGACTGACGAGCAGGCGCTGATGCTAAGCTTACAGCAAGACTGGAGCCAAGTGCTTACGGGCTATTTATACATGAACCAAAGTAAGTAACACAGTCCAACGCAACACATTCCCTATGTGGAACAAATCGTATTCGTATCTAAGCTGTTCAGAACAAACGGATACACGGACACCACAGGCTAAGCTAACTAGACTAGAACCGCACCATTTAGAGACAGGCTACTGCCTTACGAGTACGAGCGGAGCCATACTTGGCAGTTGAAGGGAGAGAGGGTCTACAGCATCGGTTCATCCCGATCATGGAATCCTTCTGCCTGATTATGCTGCAGGATGATTCGTCTGGAATAAATCAAGCTTAATTATTTTTGGCATCTTTTAATGAGTTGCCTTGGGAGTTCGACAGCTGCGAGATTCATCAAGGCCCAATCGAAAAAGTGGGTAAACGAGTACGAGCCCACCGCCAAGTCAAACGGGTGATTCAGGGAGACGGACGGACAAGCAGTGATGCTAAATTTGACTAGCGGAATTAATTAAGATGAATAGTAACCAGCAAGGCTCGCACTTCACAAGGCACCCCAGCGATCATCCACTTGTCGGAGATGTTCAAACTCGTCGGCCCACTCATCATGCATAGCCTCAATTGTGATTCCACGGTCCTTTGCAACCGCATACAGCCGGTCGCAGGCAGCTCGAGCTTCACGGAGAACCGCTTCTGGTGCCTGGACCTCTTTCTTCCCATCCTTGCTACCCTCATAATGCAAGTCGAGCACAAAACCCAGCTTCTTCAGCTCGGGGAGATACTCCTTCGAGGCGAAAGACTCAATCCACTTCTCCCACTTCTCTGACTGACACAGGGATGCGGGACCTCGAAAGTAGAGGGCCGACAAGTTCGGCGGCAGCTTCGTATACAGATTTGGCAGATACTCCTTGTCCTCGAAAATATCCCCCACGCTCAACCGCAGCGTTCGCAGGTTCAGCAGATGCGGAAGCACAGTCACAAACATACTCTCTTTCGCAAACTGGAAATCCAGCCCATGCGTCGAGCGCAGTGTCAATGTCTGCAGATTATCAACCACATGAGGCAACGCCACCGCCATCCGGCAGAACGCATCCAGCGCATCGTTCTCCACAATCTCCAGCGTGTCCGTGGTGACCTGCGCAGGGGGTCGGTTCGCCGACTCCACCCGCGGATTGGGCTTGGAGTACTTGTCTGTCATCCACTGCGCCACCAGTTCAGGGATATACGTCACCTCGATCTTTCTTTCTGCCGGTGTCCCCTCGTCTACCGTGATGTATCGCGGCGTTGCCTCGCCGCGATCGATGGCTTCGCGGTTCGTGCGCTGCAGTTCTGTGTTTGTTGGACCTTCGAATCGTAGACCGGAGGTGAAGATCAGAGCGAGATGTTTTACGCGGCCTTGCAGGATGAAAGGGGTTTGGATGACCTCGCCCGCGGCGGAGCTGACCTCCAGCCGTTCGAGGGGCCAGTGCAGGGGCATCTCTTTGTCGTTGAAGCCCTCCTCGTACCCGCTGTCCATTTCCAGGTCGCGGATGTTGGTAAAGTGCTCGCTGAGGATGGACCATTCCTTGTCCGAGGGAGTGTTTTCCTCGATCCGCAGGGAACTGGTGTCCTGGGGGATGCTCTTGAGTTGGGAGATGAGATTGGCTTTATGGTTGTCCTGGTCTTCGCTGTTCGGCCCTTGTACCCGCACTGTGGGTGTTGACAGGTTTGGCTGATTTTGAGTAGCATCTACCGTAGCGGCGCGTAGTTGCGTGAAAGCAGGCCATTGTCTAGGCTGGCCACTGGGTTTCCTGAATGGTACCCCAATTTGTTGAGTTGTCCTTCTGGAAGGAAGTGACCAAAATCGCCCCTTGAGGCAGGTGGATAGATAATGACTGCGCTACTCTGGTCAGCTTTAGTTCTGATTACCAGGGGCCATGGTCAACTCACCATGTTGATACTGTAGTACGCAAGGGATGAGTCGATGACGAAGTGTTGGGAGTGTCGTCCAAATCCAATATCGCCTTATCAGCCCATCCTTATCGCTTATCTTATCATTGTTTGTTTGCTCTGTTTGTTATCCGTGTGTGTTTCTGCCTGTGGCGATTTGCTGTTGATGGAATTGATTCCATAAACTTACTTAGCTTTGAACATAATGATCATATTCATAGTGAATAACTTCTATTGTAGATATCAATGCAGAAATATGGATAAAGCCCTACAGATAATGACATTGACCTAAGTTTGGCAGTAGGGGCTCCATGGAAGACTATTAACTTCTTTGACCAAAAGCTGCGTCTTAATCTACTAGACAAGACTTGCATAAAAATAGTACCATTAAAATCAACCTAGTAGTCCTTTGGTGCATTCACAGAGTAGGAAGCATCATGCTTTAATAAGCCGCTGTCATTCACCAGACTCAGCTTCTTGTCATTGTTGATATAAGGATATAAACCTGCCATTGCCCCCAATCTTTGCTTCATTGCCCAAATCAAAATGTCGTCTTCAGCTGAGCTAGCTGCTGGGACGCCGGAGTGGCTCTATCATGCAACTGCATTTCCTATGGAGATGAATTCATCAACATTTTTCTAATACTATTTCAAGTTTGACCCATCCGGAAGAGATTGACGCGAGCCTTTTAGGGATCTCTAGATACCAGACGAAGGTCCTGGAGGGTGCCATCGGCTGAGATCACTTTTATTGACCAACCGTTCAAGCAGGATCCTATATCCTGAAGGGAGTGTCCATCCCCTCCCTCTGGGTGGCCGGGCATCCAGCTCGCACTTCTGAAGAAGTGGTCTCACTTTCGTTCCCTCTCCTCAAGGCCACAATTTACCGAGGACGTTTGCTTTCTTTGCTAGATACTTACAGTGTCGCTTTAAAGAAACCGTATTGTCTCTCGAGTTTCTTTCTTCAAAAAAGAAGACATGGAACCAATTGTGATCTTCATTGCGCAACTCACCACGTTGCTCCAAGTGACCACGGTCCTCCGCACTAACCATGGCCTACAATCACAATCTCTCCTGCGTTCTTGAAAGATTCGGGCTCCGTCGCCGGCCTTCGGAAGCTGCGATGAACGGCATCGCTGTCCATCAAGCGCAGCTGCATCCCTCTACGTCTAGTCTGTCACGCCGAGTTGGGGCTCGTGTTCAGACCGGCGGATTGACGTCCCTTCATCAATTTCGAGGTCAAGGGCAGGCAAATTCTTCCTCAGGGAGTCCCAACAAATGTCATGTATCGACAACATCTGGTGAAGCAAGAAGCCCTATAGAAGCATCTCAACAAGATCTGGAATCTCTGAAATCGGTAAGCCGGGCCATTTCATTGCTCGTTCTCAGCTGATCTTTCAGAAGGAACTACAACGATGCGACAACACATTGTGGCTGCGAATGACGGCAACTGGGCAACCATTCCAACGACATTTTCGCTTGGCTCCGACGGTCTCCGGGACATTACCCTACTGATCTTCTTGCGGACAAATTGTTATTCTGAGAAATGACCCTTACCGTGGCGTCGACATCCACGAAGCGATGATGCAGGCCGGCCTCATTCAGCAGATCCAATCAGATTTGTAGCGGTATGAGTGGTCTGTCAAATGGGATCAACGACACGATTCTGGGTTTAATACCTCCTAGATCGAGGTCTCGATGATGGGCAGAATACAGAGAAGGGCTGCCCTCCCCCATGACATCCGAACCACCATCGTGTTTCCTTGACACCAAAGAAAGGCCCACGATGAATCTCATAAGTAGTATTCTAGGAGGCTCTATGCCTCGTCCAATCATAACACGTGGGCCAGCTAACTACTGTTTTACCATTCATCACTCCTAACTGTATAAATGCCGGATGGCCGGTGACTTGACTGTACACCTGAACTATGGCATCTCTCCGATTGGAATGCTTCGAAATCTGACTACAGCCAGACTTACGATTACTTCAATTAGTATGGACTTGCAGTGGACACCTGGGAATGCGTCGAATGTCAACGCTGCGTTCCAATAGCCACCCTCAACTATCCCTGTGCAGAGATAGATGACAACCCACTCGCCATACCCATCTAGGAGGATGACAGAGAAAGTTCCAACAGGAAAGGCTCACTTCGTCTTCGGGACACAGCGATGGTCACCTCGTCCCTTGCAGCTAGCGACAAACATAGTCGGGGAAGTCGCCAAAGAAAGATTTAGGGTCCACTCCCTGTCTGGAGGACTAGGATGAAATCGTAGCTTTAGTGAAGAATGTGGGAGCAACTCCAACCTATCTCATGGAGAGACACTTTTCTAGTCTTCTTTCTCAGACATCACCAAGGATTGCGTAGTGTGGAAAGAGAAGATGTTTCAATAAATTCACACTTGAATCAACGACAGCACAACGCCACGAGCGCCATTTGACAACCCTCACTCATAATACAATACAACCAGACCTAAGATCAAGGAATCGCAGCCAGTGCCGCAACCACCCCCCCAACCAAAGGGAACACCCCCCTCACAGCATTCAGCAATCCCCATCTCTCCAAAAGCGACTCAACCTCCGTCCTCGTCGCCTCAGTCTCATCCTTAGACCCCACCTTCGCCTCCAGCGAATGATTCGTCCCCATCATAAACGCAAGCGTAAACGGCACAATCCCCACGGTCAAGATCCCCGAAACAGCATACAGGAAGCTACTATTCGGCGCTGCGACCAGCGACAACGCCGTTCCATCACGGACAGACCAGGCGAGGTAGAAGAAGACTGCGGCGGTGGCGGCCGCGACGGGCGGGTTCTGCATCTTGCCGGCGTTGTAGATGGTGGCCCAGATTTTGGCGGCGACGGAGGGGGTGACTTGTTTTTCCTGGAGGGTTTGGAGGAGGGCAGGGGTGGATATGAGGCTTAGGGAGAATATGTTGCCTGTTTCTGTCAGTTTAATGTCTTCCTGGGATTTTATGTTGAGGGTGAGGGATGACCTGAGAGCCAGGCGGCGCCTGTCAAGCCTAGGACTTGAGCTGCGCGGAATGCGCTTGGGAATTCGCTCATTGTGACAATTAATTGTTGGGTTTTACAGTTCGAGGATACAATGGAATTGTGGCACTTGAGTTGATGGATGGATGGATAGGGCGCGGGAGCTGGGTTATAAGTAAGACGGGGTATGACGACACATTTAAGGATTTGACTTTGGATTGGTCATGAGATCGATGCATTTGAAACTACTAGGTAACTGATGATATTCTAGACGCATTCCAAGCTTCTGCAAAAGTAAGCTTACCAATAGTAGGAAGATCATGCCATTCTTTATCTAGGATACTTTCGGATTCTGCTCTGTCGGCTTTTGCGGGCTTTGAGAGTCCGAGTGTGGATCCAAACAATAAGCACATGGGTATCGTGGTAACCAGAAATAGAAGCGATAGTGATATAAAGTCTAGCGGATTAGCTACCGCTACAATACTGACTTTATTGATTGCGTGGAAAGTTCCAGCTCTCGCGATTCCTCCCTGTTGCTGTCGTAGAGCAAAGTCAAGGCTTTTCCTGATCACCGGTGACCGTGAGCAGCTTACCTATTGCTCTGAAAGAGTCTTCTGCGTCTTCATAATGTGTCAATTCCCTCTCATAATGCCTGAAGGCTAGGTTTGGCATTGAAAACTTGAACGTAACAGGCCAGGCACCGCGCTTGAAATATATGACCTAGGTCTCTTTTCGAATAATCACCAGGCTCGAAGGGAAATACACCTTAATTTCAATGGATGAAACAAGCCAGATTGGCCACACTTGGCAAAGCTTGTTTTCATCAAAGGCTGCCTAGCATTAGTCCAACATCATCTCATCCTCTGCATTTCGGCCGGAGCCAAAGCCTGAATTATCGGAGACGGCAACATTAAAGATGGGCGGAGTAGCTGTGCTTTCCTTAGGTTTGCCTTTGGTTTTCTTGCCTCCGTGATCTGTTTCCAAAAGAAGGCTACGAGCTTCCATCCGTACAGCATGTCATATGGGTGAAGTTGCACCGGCTCTGCCTCTAGACAGGGCGGGAATAGCGATGGTTTTGCATGCATGAGCTTCACAATGTACCACCGCACGGTAAGTTCGGGCTGGTGATCGGGCTTGACGCCGGGACCCCGGCTTAACGCATGGTTACAGCATGATAGCCGTCATTCTTTCAGCGATTGATATATCTGGTTGTAATGTCTTTGGTGGCAGCATCATGGTTAGAGATCCCACACAGCGAGACCGACGCACCCCGCAAGCAAGGGGTTCTCAAAGACGTCCTGGGCAAAAACTGCTTTTGTCGGTTCTGCGCGTTGTTGATTCCTCGAGAGAGTTGGCCGTCCTCCTGCTCTCTGCTCACCACTTTCTGCTTTCTGCCTTCTGGTTCTTTGCAATGTCCCGATGGCTTTATTTACTTTTGACCATGTATTCTGGTATTGCCCAGTTCGCTTGAATTTGACAAAGTCTTTTATCTTCCCGCGGCCACTTCATATAAGCGGAGGAGAATCTGTTTCCCGGTCCTTTCAACCTTTTATATCACCTGTGTGACTTCTAGCACTGCTTCCCCTGCTATCCACATAGACAAGGATGCCGAGATCATGTCCAGGCGGCCGAAATCAGTAGTAATACACACTTAGTATCTAGGAAAGAGAGAAGATCGTTTTTGGAAAGCTTAACCCTTCATAAATTTAATAATAAAGCAATGAAAGGTATCAACTCGTTAATGAACTTTTCCTCTCTTGGTCGACTCTGTCCAAGCCCACGATCTTTGCCTTGAACTAGTGGGTTTGTTGGGGTACTCCGTTCTCTAGTAGGACTTGGGAGCCTTGATTTGACTACTCTAGCACATGCAGTTGGATACATTCCGAGGATATATTAATGGGCGCTAAAAAGCACTACCCCTGTTGTCTTTTCTTCCACCAACGCCCCTCAACCTGCTCAACCTTTTCAAGACCAACAACTGCTCCCTACCTGAACGTTACGTTCTCTGCCTCCCAAGACGCCAAGAGGCAGGCCATTGCCGACCCATCCCACTGGAAAAATTCCGTCGCGCAGCATGGCCGCGTTCCATCTTTTTCCTCGTCTCCCCTTCGAGCTTCGCTCTAGGATCTGGGAGTTGACAGTCGAGCCACGCACTGTTGAGGTCCGTTTTAAGAGAGAGCATGGGTCATGGGGCAAGCTTTTGCATGTAACCTCATCAACACCAGTACCTGCAGTCCTTCAGGCCTGCCATGAAGCTCGAAACCAGGGGCTGTACCAGCAGGCCTTTAATATTTCCTCAGCGGTTGAGCCGCGGTATGTCTGGGTCAACTTTGAGATTGATATGATCTCCATTGGGCATACTTGGTTTGATACATTTGAAGCAGCTGAAAAACTACTATTTCGCCGGCTTACCTTTGCGCGCGAGAATGATGAATCCTTTTTCCGTATTCACACCTATGAGCTGAGAGAGTTCTCTAATCTGGAGGAAATTCATATTATCTGTGAAGATGGCCTAATGATGTGGCAAGATGCCTGGGAATTTCTTCCCTGGCCATGTCCAAAAACGAACTTGAGGTTCATTGACAAGCAAACCGGGCAGATTGCGGTTGGCGAGGATCTGGATAGGATGGTGGATGAATGGAGGGCGTCTCTGCCTGATCATTCTAAATGGTTATTCAGGCGCATGTCTCATAGTTCCTAGAACTTGCCGTATGCCGCGGCTCAATATTTAAGAATAGGTGTCTCAACAAGATGCTTAAATTTCAGAACTCGCTACCCACTACGTTGCGCACAAGATTAGGTACATAGTGCAACCTCAGTACATAGCTTTCTCTCCAACTCGGGAAGGGTCATAAATAGTAAAGTTCATAGTGACAAGTATGAGAGCGTTTTCTTCGTCCTTGAACTGGTCTAGAATTAGAATCGCCAAAAGGGCCAGGATCGTGGATCGAATGCAATATGTGACAGTGTTCAGACAGTGCCATTGTCGATTGCTCGGATATGCCAATGCAAATCTACCTCTTTAGAAATCGCGTCCATGTATAAGGGCGTCGATATGGCTCACTACTCTCAACACCTGGAAGGCGGGAGTAGATCTTATTCCCGGCCAACTCGTGGCCTTTTTTCTGGGAGCCTTCATCTGCCATCTGCGATTGCTACCTCTGCAAAGTAGAATGTAGTGTGCTCTGCATCACCTTCCTTTTGAGTTTCGATTTTCTTCCACATTCCCGTGTCGGCGATGGTCTTTCTGGCATCAATTTGCTCGAGTACCACAATGCTCGAGGCCCGCTGGACAGGGGTTGGGGTGATGGACTTGAATCCAGGCATGGTCGTTTCTAGGAAAGCGGGTCTCAAAGTCGAGAAAAAGTACTTGGACTCTATTGTAGAAACATATCGTATGCTACTAGAATTTTGCGTGTGTATGGAGGAAGAATCAAGGCCAGCGACATGTGCGAGCCATATTGACAGTGGTAGTAGACTGCGTTTCAATGTCATTTTACCGCATAGGAGATTCTTGAGTGAAGATTCTGTCGAAGCTGGATGAGAAATAGATTGATCAAGTAAGTATGAACCGCTTCCTGAGTGTCTTTAAGAACTCGTTATTACCCTTTTGTTGCGTGATATTGTCTGCACTCTTGGGTATATCTTATGCTTCAATCTCCTTATCCCTCGGCCACCGCAGGTTTTTGGTGGCGGCTTCCAGTTGGATGTTCACTGCCCATAGCTGCCGATATACCGGAAGGTGTGGAAGTCTGAAGACTCTTTTTGTCCACTATAGGCTGTATGCATCTCTTGGGGGCGCGTGATGTATCCATCCACAGGGTCAAACCATCAGTTCAAAATGGCATTCCAAATGCCATTTATATGGCCCTCAGTGATTGTGTTGCCCTTTTTGCAGTTCGTCAGGGGGCGTCGCGAGGAAGGCAGCAGCCCAGTGCTGCATTGGCAGGGGCACATGATTGCAGTCCTTCTTCAAGCACCCAGCACTTGCACTCCTGGTTCTCCCCACATTAAAAGAGTCCTTGTGTTTGCTTTGCGCAGAAGAGTCGGTCGCACTATTAATGGGGCGTTTGAACAACAGCTTTAGCTCTGTCATTACCCCAGGGTCGTCCCACCGCAGTTGGCCGAGGAGGGCCCCGGCGATGCGCGTCCTGGGGCGTCGAGAAGGCGGACGGCGCCCAAGGGCTGGTTATCGAGAACATCAAAAAAATTTGCGGTAGAGATCGCTGTTGGCCTGCATTGGGGTCCTATAGTATTCCTCGGGATTGGTAAGGCTGGCTGACCTCGGACTCCGCCAGGTCAGTGCCTCATCTGCCGTGTGGTCATCATCTGGGACATTTGTCGAACGGGCTGCGAGGACCATGGGCTTCAAGAGGTCATGAGGCTGCGCGACTAACTGGGGGAGCGCTTTCACTATATTATTGCATTCAATCCAGTGGAGCTGCTGTGCTCCTGGAACAATGACCACACTTTCTGGGACCCGCGCTGTCCAAGGTGGTGGACCCGCCTAACACAGTGTGTTGATATTGAGTGGTGGCTCGAGCAGGGTGACCCTGCTGCATTCTGTATGCAAATTAGACATGAACCCCCGCGTTGGTACAAGGTAAGCAGGATGTCGCTTCAAATCGGGCCATCTGAAGTTTTGCATTTGGCACAGTACAAACGAAGCAACTCCACTATTTGTGCACACATCATATCATCACTCCTTAGTGTTCGAGTTCCTCAATTACTCCTCGATGCTCGATGGAGCGAAGACATGTTAGTAACGATAATCTCTTTGGCCGCTAAGTGAGATCGTAGCGATGTTGGGGAGACTGCTTGAGAAGTGGTACGATCAGATAGCGGAGAGCTGGCACATATTTCCCCTGATGGTTGTTTGCATCGAGCATCGGCTGCTGTAGAAAGACAGGTTGGGTATTGTGCAGGCATGAACAGGGTGAATGACGCCATGGGAGGCAATGAGGATATCATTCACCCAAATTAGATGTCCCATATGCAGCTAGTAATTGATCCAAGGTTGCGCCAGAATCTTCACTATTATTTTGGAAGATAGTGAATGCCTTTAATTAATCCAGCTATCCTTATTCTTTCTGAGATTGGCATGACTGTAGATATAGCTTCATGAGACGTGGGAGGCCTTGGTCTCTCAGATAGGCGATGAAGCATATTCTATATCTGGAGAAAATAAGCACTGCCACTATCCCTACTTCCTCCGGACATGATCTGAAACAGCTGGAAGCATCTCATTGTGCTCCTCTACGCCAATTTTCTTCCAAGAGAAGCCAAAGCTCAGCAAGGCAGCCACAGCAGCAGTGGCTGTGGGGAGAAACTATGACAGTAGGTCAGTCAGCTTTGAATACTTTCAGACTACAGGTAACCTAGAAACAATAGCACTCACAAAGACCTTGACCAATGCTTCATTATACGCGAATCGGACTCCGGGGAGCTGGTCAGCAGACAAAACATCGGCATATCCTGTAGCACCAGCATCCAGGATAATTGCTGGCTCAACATTGGGCGCATACTTTTCCAGAGCTGGCGTCAAGCCATTCTGGAAGATAGCCTGCGCCACGGAGATAGCAACGGACCCAGACAGATATTGACACAGAGCAATAGCAGAACTGGCAATAGCAATGGCGTCGGGGCTTAGATATTCTTGGCTTGCGACGATGGGCTAGAAAATGCTGTCAGGTCTTGCATTATGTCGGGTTCCATCCAGACACCAACTACTAACCATGTTCAATGCTGCACCACGTCCAAACCCCGCGACGATCTGATAGCCAATCCACTTCCCCTTGCTTGTATCTGCTGTGAATGTGGTCATGAGTCCAGATCCGACTGCTGTCATCACACTGCCAATGATTGCCCAAGGTGGAACGTAATGGAGCTTGCGAACTATAGATAACAAGTTAGGATTCAGAAGTCTGTGTTCCAAAGAGAGACTGGGTTTTACTTTACCGAGTGCGCCCGACGTCATTGAACCTAGGATCTGACTTATCATAGTCGGCAGCATCATGAGGCCACTACCGGTTGGCGAGGCTCCCTTGACAGCCTGAAACCACAAAGGTAGGTAGTAACCCACCATGATGGTGGCACCGCCTTGCAGACCGGAGATCCAGCAGCCAAAGAAAAGATTTGGCTCGCGAAGAATATGAGGTGGAATTAATGATTCGTCACCCTGATGGATAGCCCATGCGACGAAGAGCGCCAGTATACCAGCACTCCCACAGAGCAGACCAATCACTTTTGCCGAGCTCCAGGGGTAGGTTGCTCCACCCCAATTGATGGCAGTCAGAAACATGGTACAGGCAATGGCGAAAAGCGCAAAACCCAAGAGATCGAGCTTTCTGGGAAGTTTGACGAGGACAGAGCTCATTGGGGGCTTGGTAGTTTGCTCGGGGACGCGGAGTATCAGCATAATGAGCATGGTGACGCCACCAAATGGGAGGAAAACCCAGAAGCCTAGGCATCGACACTCGCCGGTTAGTCTTAGACCTGAATGAATCCAAAATATGTAAATCTGAGGAGCAAGGCAAAGGAAAAACTCACACCAACGCCAGCTGACATGCTCAGTAAAGGCACCCCCAACCAGTGGGCCAACAATACCCCCTATTGCAATCATAGAGATGCCACAAGCTGTTATAAGAGGTCGAATCTTGGGAGGGGAACACGCTGTCAGAATAACGACTGCTCCATTGAAAAGGCCTGAAGCCCCGAACCCTGCAACAGTCCGGCCAGCGATGACCATGTTGCTTGACATTGAGAGCGCACAGATGAGATTTCCGAGCTCAAAGATGGCCATAAAACCAACATACAGGTACTTTTCAAAGGAGAATGAGTTAGTTGTGGTACCTGTGCTCAGATAGAGCATACCTGAGGGAACGTACTTTCAAGGGGAATAAAGTATACATCTTGCCTGCAAGCGGTTGCGTTGCACATCTGACCAGTCAGTGTCTGAACACAAAATCGATATGAACACGAAACATCGGAGGCCATCTTACAAAGCCAGAAGGAAGGCCGAACCATACCAGTTCACTTCCTTAAAACTGTCAAAGTAGTCTGAGATTGTGGGAACGGCCTAGCGTTATTGCATCTGTGTTTAGTAACCCTACCACAGCAACGACACTTCTATGGAAACTCACTGTTGCGACCACATTGATGTCCAGGCCCAGGAGAAGCATCCCCACAATTAGAGCTGCGATGAGATTATACAAAGAAATCCCCCTGAGATAGGGATATTGAGAACCCGATTCATTAGGACCACAGACCGAGGTCGGTCTATGGTTTTGAGCGTCAGGCAACTTCTCCGTGTCCAGTGAGGGTCCAGCTTCAGCGGCACATTCGAGCGGACAGACTGACATGACTGACTTGAAACTTGAATGTGTACGGTTGTTTAATCAAGAAAGATTTTGTGAGAGACACGCAAAAGAATTGAGGGCCTTGGGGAGAAATGAAGAGATGGGTGAGATAAGGCCGTGTGGAAGGGGGAAGGTTCCAAGGACATTTTTATAACAGGACAGGCAGGCAGCATAATCAGAATATTAATACCACTACAGCTGATAACTCATTATCCCAAAAGTGATCATTAAGAGTGTGTCACAGATCCCACCATCCCTGGTTGTGTTCCTCTAGCGAATCAGAGAACAGACTCCACACAGTGACCATTTGCAGCAGCACTTGAGGCCACTGAACTGTCCACATTTATTAAATCTGGAGCTTCTACAGGTAAATCAGTTAATTTGCCCATTCTGAAAACCCCCAGGCCAGTGGGATTCATATTTACGTTCCCATAGAGGATGTTCCCTGATCAGGCTAAGCGCCGCATAGATCCAATTTCGGTATCTATGATCTCTTCTATGTCGAATTTCTCCAAGATCTCGGATACCAGCTTGGTGATTTCACTTGTAATAGTAGTCGGGCCGAAAAACACTTTGGATGGCTGGGATTCAGGATACCACTTTTTCAATCCGGCAGCATCACAGGGTTATTTTGCCAGAGAAATGCACTTTGGCTTAAGCAGGGCTGAGGTTGGTATCAAGTCTTCGGATTGGATCAAGCTTTTAGTGACACATTAGCAATAAAGGGCTCCTCCCCCGCAGAAACACAGTATAAATAGGTAACATTGTTCCCTCATGAATCACAAGCTTCACTATTAACTACACTAACACAGCCCACACAAAGTATTCCCCCGCCTGCAATCACTTTATCAATATATGCCTTGCATCTTGAAAATCGTCAAACTAATAGCCGTTCCCTTCCCCAATCCGGAACATCATGGCGTCTACTGATAATGAAAGGCCTGCTGGAGGGCGCAAAAGGGGCACAATCATTATGGTATGCACTATCAGCAATATTGTGATTTTGTATCCTTCTGGCTGCTTCCGGTTGCTTAGAAATTCTTCTAGACCGAACCTGCCATATTTCCAGAAGAGAACCTATCGACCTTCCTCCATACTATCCTGATCACCACCACAACCTCAGGCCAGCAACAGCCTACTGAGAACTGCACGATACACCACTGGGACCATCCTGTCTCAGCTCAGAGCCGGTCTGTAATGATCCAGACTGGATTATCTATAGATAGTCTCAGCTACATTGAAGGGTTCCGCGAGCTGAGCCGTCTTAAACTACCTCAGTCTCGATCCTCCCCGCAGGAGATACATGACTATCTATCTTTGTTAATCCGGGATATGCCTATCGCACTTTGCCCGACTAGTGATGATGCTGAGAGCCATCAGGCAGGGATTGTCCAACTAGTGAAAAGGTTAGAAGAAGATGAGACTCTTGATACGGACAGGGAAGTGCTGCTGTGCTGTGCACAAGTAATTGGAAGTACTGCGGACACGCTGTTTGCTGATGAAGACAGTGTTTGGAGATGGGAAAAGCCCACGAGTGTGTATCACACGCCCTGGAGGAAGGGGTGGGCAAGCACTATTGATGATGCTGTAGAGGCAGCAGTTTGGGCAGCAGGGCAGAACACCTCACTTCGAGTTGAAGGGGTGGATAGAAGACAGAAGGATTTCATGTTTAATAGAGATGGGTGTATCTCAGTGATTATTCCTCCAAAGTCCTTCAGGGGATGAGTGGGGAATGCTGTGTACCTGTTATCCTACCTGCTCTTATGATTATAATTCACACCACATATGTTGGCCCATATTTGAGTTAGTGTGGGCGCAGGGTCTGACAATCGGGGACAGATGCGGCGCAAGAAGCCAACGGATTCGGTCTGTTGCACACCGATGAGATTGAGGTCGACTGGTCCACGGTTCAGTGAGGAATAGTCTTTGTGATTCAGTGAAGGGTGGCTGGGAGACGGACGAGTTACGTCCGGTCTTGACTTGCTGCTGTTTCCCGTGCTCATGTAGTTGGCGAAGAAGTCTATGATCAATCCTAGGTGTTTTGGGGGCTGATTCTAAACACAGCGGTGTCATGAAAGCTAACAATATACCCGACGATATTGACGCTGCTAGCAGCGGATTCGACGGACCTCAATGAACACATGAGCACGGTTTATAAACATTCCTCATCTGTGTCAACATGGGTAAATCAGGCAACTCAGACAGTGCTCTGACATTTGCTAAACGTTGTCTGTCATGTATGTCCAACCGTGTCAGAGCTGCAGCTAGCGCTAGCCGTTGAGCTAGGGTAAGCATTCGTCGACGAGAGGTTGTGATTGACCAGGATATTCTGATATCAGCGCGCGCAACCTTTTGAGCTCGAAGACATGGGGACTGTACGGTTAGTCCATCAGACCGCACATGACCACATTGATCGCGTGCGCGAGGGATACTTCCCGCAGGCTCAGTAGAAGATCCTGAGAACTTGCCCTGGAATATCTTTCCATGGCAGAGTTTGCCCTGCTCGCCTTTGCGAGTCGGACGAAGAATTTGAGCCAAGGGTGCAGCAACATCCGTTTCACAACTACGCTGCAAGCCAGTGGTCATCTCACTACTCTCTCATTGATTACGGCAGGTGTCCAGGACCTCCTCCTATCTTTCCTGGCAGACGAGGCACGAGTGCCTGGCCCCAGAATACAGACAGCACGACTAGAGCCAGTCCAACCCTCGCAATTTTACTGGTGTCCATATACTGACATTCCTTGGCTCCACGGAGCCCCTGCTCCTTTCTCAAGAGCCAGCTCCCCAGCCTGATTGACTCCAAGTCCGACAGGTCCCATCGAGCCAATGCCGCGGTAACATACTTTATACTTTCTTGACCACCGCTTGGATGATATGGTGGTGATAAGTGTCTGCTCCTGACCGGCCACGGTATAGTCGCGAAATTCCAGCATATGCTAGCGCTGCCGCTGCTAGCAGTCAGGATGGGGATGGCTCCATGACTAGTGAGCCTCACCGACTGAAAATAAGCCCACGAGGGCATCAATCATAGCCAGACCTGAGAGCGTGTATGGCACTATAGATACTCTGCTGAGAAGCTAACTTGAACTATGTGTAGGTCTCAATAAAATGTTCTACGTTTGATTACTATTCAAATATGTGACCTCGGTATCCGAAAAGTATACTTGATAAGATAATCACTGTACACTAACTACTTAATTCATGCACGCAACTCCAAATTGCCGATGGTTGTTATTATGTACTGAAAAGTCTTGTACACCGTTACTCCCTGTACACAGCCGATATTGAGTTCGTTAGGATCGGATCTGACAGGAGTAAAAATATGCACAAACATTGTTGGTTTGTCCGTCAACCACCGGGAGAAATCCTAGCCTGCTCAGTTTTTCGTCTCGAGGTATTCTCCATATCTGACTGCCTCATTTCTATCAATCCATTGCTGCCAGAGCTCCCCCTGCTGGACTGGTGGGATCATGCCGTTCACACGCCAATTGTCTGGGGGATGTTCATAAATGTTGTATTCCCATTTGATGCCTTTGGGGCCCAGTATCGGCTCCAAGATACCATTGACGCTTTCAATGAAATCCAATCGAGCCTGCTCATTAGGGAACGAGCGGGCTGCATGGTCGAGGACGAAGAAGACGGTATGAGGGGGTGTTTTGCCACCGCTGTAAAATGTTCCGATGCGATTTTCGTGGAAGAACACGTTGATGAGGAAGGCAGGAATGCCTAATCTGACATAGTTATCGGTGATGGCTTTGGCCAGAGTGTCCTTTTCAATCTTGGACAAAGTATCCGGCGTGATTTCAAAGGTCCAACGTGGCATAGCGCTGTGAGTAAATCTGAAATATGAAGTAAAGAGTCAAAACGCACAGGATATGGTGCAATACACCGGAGGGATGTGTAATTGAATCAAAGATATATACCCTCTTCTCTCCTCTCAATGTCCCGTGTTTACATCTATAACCGAGGACCGAAGTCTCCACAATTATACTACAGGTCCAGACATTCCTGGACATAGTCATGGATTGCCTGACACTCATTGGGTGGTCAGTGACTACTCTTCATATAGTAATCGTAATTCAGTCCTAGGCAGAGATCATTAATCAAATTTTCCTCGGCTCTCTAGCTGTGACAGTCAAGGGAGGAGTCTTGAATTCATAAAGACGCTGGCCTTTTCCGAGAGTTGAGCGTCACCATTCCTTTCATCAATCCTGTTCTTGACAGATTGCATATTGTCTGATTATTTTCGATGTCTTCCATCCTTCAAGCCGATGTTTATGTGTCTTCGCGCCTCCCGCTCGCAGTCGAGCGGGCCGGCGAGTCGAGCTACTTCTCCCCAATCACTTGCACTCTGATCCACGGGAAATCAAAGGCTGTCTTAGTAGACACACCCATTTCTATTTCCCAAACTGAGGACCTGGTCAGCTGGATTAAGGAAACTGCACCTGGCAAAGACCTCCAATATGTTTATATCACCCATGGCCATGGAGACCATTGGTTCGGCATCAGCGTACTTCGAAAGCACTGGCCTAACCTGCGTGCCCTTGCCACACTTGGCACGATCCAACACATGCAGGAACAGGTACAGCCAGAGATTTTTGACGGGGTGTGGCGCACCTTGTTCCCTGGGGATCAAATCCCTCCCAACCCAGAGCTGGCCAAGCCAATGGCATCACCCGTCTTTGAGCTTGAAGGGAAGGAGTTTCATGCAGTCGACGTTGGTCATACTGATACCTACAACACCACGGTGCTTCATGTGCCCAGTATCAGGCTTGTGGTGGCGGGTGATGCTGTTTACGGCGATGTCCACCAGTATTTCGGAGAGGCCAATACAACCGAGAAAAGAAAAGAGTGGCTACGAGCCCTCGATACCATTGAGGCTCTCGAGCCCCACGCTGTTATTGCAGGCCACAAGCGACCGGGAACCGTTGACGGGCTCTTCAACTTGCACAGGACTCGCCAATACATTCTTGATTTCGAAGAAGCGGTTGCATCGACTTCGAATTGGCACGAACTATGGGAAGAGATGAAAAGGCGGTATTCTGGACGGATCAACCCTCATGCGATCCTAAGAGGTGCTTTGGCAGCCTTTCCAGACAGTTAGCGGGTTTGACCTTGGCAGGGGGGTCAGGCATAAATTCGCTACTCGTGCTTTTCGTCCATTTGGTGATAATACCAACCTTTGAAGGATGTTTAGCAGGCCAGGTCTGCCTGAGAGATTGCAATCAGCACTTGAAGATGGCATGACTCATGTTGTTCAAGGATATCTTGACAGTGGAAGTAATTCAACCTCTATGACAGGAACATCGTGCAACAGGGGAGCCCATATTATTATTTTCTGCTCTGGATGGCCGTACATAGGTTATTAAACTACTTATTGAATATGGCGCTAGAGTCAATAAGCTAGTTTCCATCATTCCATGGCTAAACTCTATTATCCTAGGCAGCTATTTATAGTGAACTTGATGCTGTAAAGCTCTTGATTAAAGATGATGCAAATGGTTAATACTAAAGATAAAGACTAGAGAACTCCTCTTAGTTAGGTAGTCTATATAGGCATCAGGGATGAGAGATCAGAAGTGAACAACTTGAAAAATCAAATTTATCAAAGTACTACCATCTTATTACCTTTGCACTCGCGACATGCTGCTTCGATCATGCTAGAAGGAAAGGTCCAGCCCAACTACTCGTCGAGCTCCGCGTTGAATGGCTTTGCGGGAAAAGAAGCCTGAACTGCAAACAAGGTCGAGAACATGCAGCCCCTCGATATCGTCAACGTATGTTAGAAGAGTAGCGGTGCTGAGCAGGCTACTGGGCAGCTGCTTGATGGAATCGTGAGAATGCCGTTACGGGCGGACAGTGATAGGACCCCAGAGGGTGCGGTGAAAAACTGCGTTAAAGACCAGCACTAATTCTTAGCTTCTAGAGGTGCACTTATATTTGGTTATGGGGCCTCTGTCGGGTAACTTACACACTCTCGCACTATTTTGGCAAAGCAAGCACAGCTCCTCAGCAAGCTAGCATTCCAATTTCTCCAGTGGTTGGGCATACGATAGAAGGGACTGCTTCCGTCGCTAACAGGGGTTGATGACTGCTGTGAAGACCACTAGGGAGGGTAATAAAAAGATGGTCACTTTGTTATCATGCAGGGATAAATCTAACCTAAGCCTAACTAGAAATCCTACTGCATCTCAGCAGTGTTAGTGAGTAGCAGAAGACTGTCTGTTCCCTCTCTCAGCCACGTTGATGTCATAACCAGCACTAAGTAACTTGATTATGTTCTGGTTCTTTTGATCAGCAGCATCAGCTCCTGCTAAATATAAATGCAGCGGAGATTTCCCAAAGTTATTTGGAGAGGCTAAAAGTTCTTTTTCGCGCTCTGTGGCTACCTGGATGATATGGCGGACCACCACATCATACTCAATGTCCCCATTGTCTGCGGCTACATGGAGAGCAGTATTCCCACACTTATCTCGAATTGTCCAGTCGGCGCCATGACTCAGGAAGTACTCTATCAATTGTATTTTTGCCTTGTTATGCTCTGAGTCACCGTGCTCGCAGAGTAGATGGAGAGCTGTTTTGCCATCCTTATCTTGTGCGTTAATGTCCGCACCCGCTGAGAGACAACTGGTAATCGAATCATTGATATCCCCATCCATGACATGGCTGCCGTAGTACGTGCAAGCGTCGAGCATCGCCGGTGTCGCTGCAGTAATATCAAGGTCGACTTTCCCCTGCTTGTAGAGGTCCACGAGCGTACGAACCGTGCCGGGATATGCTTCACGAACACATGTTTCAAATCCGGACTGAATATAACCGTTTGATTTCCAGAACACTGGTGGATTCTTCATTCCCGCAATGAGAATCACCAGCTCCGGGCATCTACCCATCACAGCGATATCGAATGGGGTGCGGCCAGGCCGACCGGGGGGGCTGCTTTCCGCGAGAGGGTCTGCTCCGAAATCAAGAAGCAGCTGCACCGTAGGTGGGTGAAATATGGAGACTGCAGAATGTAAGAGTGTATAGCCTCTTTCGAAGTAATGCCCACGACGCTCTGGAACCCAGGAAGATGGGATATCCTTCAGAGAAGCAAGAGGTGCGTTGAGGTCGTAACCGCGCGGGTCCCGCGTCATTGCATCTAGGAGAATCCTACTGACCTCGACCCTGCGATGTAAAACGGCCGAAACCAAAGGGATGTGGCCGTATTTATCTGTCGCAAGCGCGTCTGCGCCATTTTCCAGAAGGACTTTGACTATATGGTCGTGCCCTGAGCGACTTGCATAATGTAAGGCTGTGTGACCACCCGGCCCGCAAGCGGAAATATCTCCTCCAGCGGCCTGGATGGCCCATATCACTTTCTCAGCGGTAGGCCGGGAGAGATCGTTGTGTAGAAAGGCGAGTGTAGGTCTACGGCGAGCTGGTTTCAAAACATCCGCACCAGCCTCTAGAAGCTGCATGGCTATGGCGTCTTGGCCCTTCTTAAGAGCAACATGCAGTACCGTCTCGCGCTTAGCACATCTCACAGAGATATCTGCTCCGCATTTCAGGAATGCCGCCAGCAGGACCTCGTTCCCAGCGGCAGCAATATAGTGGAGCATAGACCGGCCGTTGGCAGCCCGACACCTGAGCAGTATACTCGACTTGGCAGCGACATAATTGAGAACAAAGTCTGATTGCAACTTGGCGACGCTGTCTTTCTTGGCTATTCGATGGAAAAACAAATGGTCGTATAGCCGTGGGGTTCCAACCGCAGCGAAGTATTTCGACGTAAGGACGAACTTCGCGAGATCCCCCAGGGAGAGGTTCTCGCAGATCTCAAGGAGAATCTCGGGGGGGATTGCTGAAAGGTCTTGTGGCATGGCTTGTCGAGAGTTCGTAGTCGCACACTCAAGAGATTAGGAAATGGTTGAATTCAAACGGCCCAGGGAATCAGGACAGTTCGTATTCGCTTCTGTAGCGGCTTCAACGTTCCCGCTCCACTGCCTTTGCTTGGGAAGCTGTTGTTACGGCAGCCTCTGATGCCTCCGCCGCCAGAACTAATGAAATACCAGATACGCCTAAAGATATTCTGTCCCAAGACTCCCAACAAAGCGGGGCTTGGCCTTCCCAGACGCTCACACTCTGTTTCTTGGCCTGTACCCGAAACCACGTTGATCCCTACGGGATACTGCCAAGACAATCCCCATTTGGTTGTGTTGCGGTATAGAATGTATAAGGCTTCAGTGTATGATGAGTTGCTGTAAAGTACTGTATACCTTACCACCATAACGTGGTTTGGAAGCGACGGGTGTGATCTGGCGATCTGGCTTGATGCCCGCTAACTGACTTTAAAAGGACTAATAGATCTTGAATGTCTAAGAGGCTCGAATTTTACCATAAGCGTGGCCTGGTTGGGATACAGCCAACAGGTGGAATTTGTCTCTGTTCCCGAGCCTGAGCATACTAGGCTATTCAGACTACTTTTATATCTGTAGGAAACAGAGAAAAATGGAGTCGGGTCTAAGTAATTAAGGTTAGAGGTATTAATTCTGTATAGTATAACCTATGATGTTATTCTTCCCAATGGATATGGGGAGAAGAGGGAGATTATTGCTTAACGAGACTGGGTGTTTAAGACAAGCTTCACTAGGAACCATGAGTGGCTTGTGGAGCCTTTGCCACACAAGTCATGGTATACTGTGTTAAACGACAAGTTGTCTAAGAATGGGGTAGAAAAGGAGATTACATGGCCTTCAGTGTAGTATGGATGCTTCCTCTACTTAGTGCAGGTAGAGCCAGAAAAGATGTTTGGCCTCTTAAGGGTAATTACTACAAATATTCAAAGCAGGCGATGGCGACGGCATAGAGAAAACAAAAAGACAATACGCATTCAGTTATCTGTTACTTCCAGGTAATGTTGGCCCTCTGATTCCAAGCCTCATACCTTCTCTACCACAAACCGGGTGGCATCTTCGATCGCTCCAGTGCTCGCATAAAGCCTAGTATAGTAATTCTCATCTTCGCCTGCCTTCCAGTACATATGCCAGAGTGTGCGAAGGACAATAATACTACCGTCACGAATTCTATTGCTGCTTCGGGGGTTGGCAGGATCGTATGGAAGGAACGTCTCCCAGTTGTCTGCCGGGCCCCAGCCCACACCCCAGTACATGAAGCCTCCGGAGTTCTTTGCGCAGGACACCACAGTATCGTCACCAAACCTGCTGTCGACATGAACAAGCCGGACATTTCCATTGGCGCCACAGGAGTCGGCGTCTAGATTGCCACTGAACGTCCATTCCCAAGATGAGTTCTTATGATAGTGCCGGATCAGAAAACGAGTATTATCCGTTGGCGCGTTCACCAGGGTCAGGAGGCTGAGATTTGTGTTACCGGGGGGATTGGTGTCCACGGCGACGTAACGCCCGTCCAGGGTCCTGAGTCGAATAGTGCTCAAATAGTTGATTGTCGGACCAAGAGGGAGCTCCGGGCTCTGAGCAAATTTATTCAAACGAATGACGTGGGAGATACCAGGTTCATTCCAGCCTTCATTGACAAAGTCGCGCTTGACGATACCTAACTTGTCACCAGGTTTGAACTTGGCGAGCCATTCGTTGAAGACCGGTGCTGCTCTACTATCGCAGTCACTGGGGTGATGACCAGGCATGTAGGACCGCTTTGGTGTGTCGATGAGCTGGGTTATCCAAAGCCTCTCCTTCTTCCACAGACCCAGGGCTTCGTCTAACCAATTCACAATCTCCTTGGGTGATTTGTTCTCGTAGTCATCCGCCCAATTATCACGGATATTGACGGCTTGCGGAGCCCAGGGTTTGCCACTGTCATAATGTTTTGTCACACCGTTGACCTCCTCGTCTTCGCCCCAGATGATGATGTATTGCTTCCCGTCCTGCCGCAGCTTAGCCCAGGTAAGGTCAGTGTTGTACATTTTGCCGTCAGGGCCGACGTGGGCGGTTGCAAATGCATCTTCTTTGCCGTCTCCTAGGACTTTGATTAACATGGCCAAAACATCGCCTGCGAGACCACCTCCATGGGCGAGATCGAGATCGAGGAAAAGAAATTCGGATTTATGAGAGTCGGCAAAACTTTTGATTTGATGAAGGACAGTCTCAAAGGGTTGGAACGTGATGATACTGTGTTTCATCACCAAAGTATTCCCATCGCGGGTGACGCGCATATCAAACCACCGGGAGCCTGCAAGAAGCTGGCCGGTGTAATCCGCACTTTGACAGATACTACCGACAAACTCATGCATCACATTGTCGCCTCCATCGTATTTATAGGCAGAGGCATCGTGACTGCAGGATATGTACGAGTCGATCACGGGTACGCTGGGATCCAGGTACTTCATCCAGTTGGCTAGATCAAGGGCCGTCATAGTTCAGAGCAGAAAGTGTCCAATATTATCCAAGCTTGATTGAAGCGAGAAATACAAGAGTCCAGAGGTGAGGCTTGGACTGTTCTCGGAGTGAAGTGCCTCCCTGGAATTTGGGCAAGGAGAGGTCCTGGGGGGGAAGGTCGAGGGCCTTTTTATATTAGGAAAGCGATCCTTATGCCTTGTTGTGGCATGCCGAGAGTCCTCAGAATGAGCCACCTCTGGGTAAGAAGAAGGAATGGAAAGACAATCATCCACAGATGGCTGGCTGAGAATTGCAATAGCCGGCCTTGTCAGAACACGTTAAAGTTCAGCCAGAGACCTATATCCAAGTGCGCAGCTGAAGACTTTCTCAAACGGTTGCACTCTTTGATCAGATTTAGCACGGCTGACGCGAATTATCACGTCGTCACAAGTAAATTGATATTCTAGAGTACCCGAGAATCCAATTGCGCTGGTCGGGTTATATTTCCTCGAATAACTGGGGTATATTTCTTTTGTTTATCGCTCGGATCACTCCGCAGCTGAGGCCAAAACACTTGGTTTGATTTGGAGATCCAACTAACAGGGCCAGACTGTTCGTATCGATCAAACCTTAATACCTTCTCACCGGGTTGCAAGTCCCTCAGGATTGGACAGCTACTACTTCGTACAAGGCGACTGACACGCCGAGCTGAATAGGAGACAGCCACCTAAGGCAACTGCGCCAGTGTCTGCCTCTCAACTACTACATTATGGGTCAGAGGGCATGATATGACAATCAAAGAAGTCGTGGTTCTCTGGGCTGCTGAGAACGCACAGAGCCATCAGTCATATGCTCAACTACGGTTATAATTAACGATTGGCCCCGGCTTAACGATGCTGAAGAAGTAGGGTAGTTGGTACTGATGATATTGTTGGAAGACCCATCGACGTGTCTACGCGAGCACTGCTTTGAAAGCAAGCAAGCATTTTCCCTGCGGCTGTACACTACTGAGACTAGAAGCAAGCGAATGGATGGTAAAAGATAGTGCTGATTTTGACAAAGAAGACCGCCTTGGGGCCTGTATTCCTGCAGGTTATACAAGGGGTCCATGAGCAGCTCGGCTCACGCTTTGATATTGAACCGGACTTGGATGTTCAAGCTCTCCAGTCCTTCGTGCATATTGCTGCAGAGGACACCAACATGACCCAGTCTGGAAACCCTCTTTATATTAGTAATATATAGAAGAGAAGGCTAAGCGACTGAGAAAGACTTAGAATTAATACATATATAATGACACTAATGAATAATATTGTAGCCTATAGGGGACTATTCAGACTGCGACCTTCTCAAGCACTATAGAAAATACCGGTATTTATTGGATTGCTTTAGAAAGGAAGCTCTTGATATCGGGGCGACTGCATTTACATCTGAGCCATGGGATCTAATGCTGAGGTACTTGCCGCCCTGAAGATTGTGACTTTTGGAGTGAAAACAGATAATAGCAGCAGGGTTGTTCACCACGATCCTAACATGTATTTTGCATAGCGACATCTGGCAACGTAGCTGTTGTTACCAGAACAGTGGTAAACCACAGTAATACAATTTTCAAGCGGAGTCATGACTTTGTGTCTTCGGAAAAGGAAAATCTTGGCAACATTATACAATTCAGTGTCCATCAAGTTTGAGGTTCGAGGTTCAACGTTTAGAAGCTGAATCAGATTATCGCGAGGCCTAGACTAGGCTAACACCAACCGTAACTAGGATGGTTATAACTACTGACAAGAATCATTGTCTCCCAGTATAATCATGTCCCCACCCATCACTTCATGCTTTTCGTCGTTCACCTGAGTTATACTCCCACGCAAATACCATCAATCGCAACCTTCTGCAAGACGGCTGCACGAAACTCAGTTCCGTCCGGGAAATCCTCGCAGATCTTTCTGAATTCAGGCAGTGCCAGACCATTCTTCAAATCCTCATTGCTCTCCCAGACGGCATAGTTGACAATGAAATTGCCGTCTCCGATTGCCTGATGGAGTTGGGTCGAAATATAACCGGGGGCCTTCTTAAGAACTTCGCCAGTACGGCGCCAAGTCTTGAGGAATGACTCCTTGTCGGCCCCCGGGGGGATTGAAATGACATTAAGAAGCACAATAGGCCCGACAGGAGGGTTGGTCGAAAGCATAGCCTCGAAGGTAGTCGAGGTATCGAGAGGTTTGTGAGTTGGTGCCATTCTGGGCCGAGTGAGAAGAAAAATAGTCTGTGGAATGAGAGAATCAGAGAGCGCTGCCTTTGTTTGAAATATATGAGGTATTACCTTGAAGGGTGAACTATATTTTGCGGAATTGAGGGTCGGAAAGATATGTCGAAAGGGGGAGTTGGTCCGTCTTATTTATCTGCAGACAAGGAAGCACGGGTGTCGCCTACAGCAATCATTCCAAAATTAGGTGAGAAGATGAGTCGATGGCCAGACGCACAGTATGTGGACAGAATATCACCAACAGGGCCTTGCCAACTATCCGGGC